TTCTCAATCCTTTTTCTTTCGTAGATGCAGACACAGATTCTTGGTACTTTTCTTTAAGCTGTCTGCGAAATGAGTGGCCCCTAATGGTAATATATAATTTCACAAACATGCTAAAAAGGTCCATTTTTAATTTGTCTGATTCACCAGCAGTCAGTTCTTGTGTAAGTTTGATTGATCTTCTGAGGTGTGACAGCTACATGTAGGAATGAGATTTCCGGTCGTTGGGTGCGTATTCCTGTCCTGTCAGAGACTACCTCACGGGCAGGGAAAGACAGCAGGTATTGAAGACAAACTTCACACCCCGTTTTTGTGAGGTAACGGGGAAAATGCCGAAAACCCCTCAAAAAATTTCCACGTGTTGACGGAAACCTGTGTGCTCGCAACTGCAAGATGGCGGCAATGCTGTATCATAGCAACCACGAGGGACTGCGAGAAATTGCGTTATCAATGCAGAGAAACAATAGAAATGCACTGAAGCACAGCGCGTGCTACCTTGATAATGAGCTGTTCAGACGCCCGTGGAGCTATCAAAACAGATTATGTGAGACAATAGGCGAATGTTTACCCGAACGCACATAGCTTCAAATGAAGATGCCGCGTTACTTGTCCTTCTCTAGTTAGGTCCAAGGTCAGACTAACCCTAACCATTTTAACAATATGGAGTGTGGACTTTCTGTAACAAGTACGGACTCACAGTTTTGTTACACCGGCCCGTCTCGTACGAATCCGTGTCTGTCGGCAGATACAAGTCACCGTTCTGATTTCCAAATTTTATTATTGGCTAAATAAACTCTTATCTTATTTACGACAAGTCCTTGTGTCCCCTTCATTTGGATTTCGGTCATATTAATGTGTATAATCTCAACTTGACGCCCTTGGATCTTGTACCCTCTGATAGCAGGGGCTTCTAAAATGGTATACAAAATTGAAGTATGAGCTTCTGTGGGAATATATCCACTTTAACACTCTCGTGTTATGTACGTAACTACCCCTCCCAGGCCTGGTAAACTATAATAACAGTTTTCTTGCACTAGCCTTCGATTTAGCATAAATTTATTACTTGTGCCACGAATAAGGTACCCCAACGTAAAATTAGAAACCACTAGCACAATGTTGGACTACACAAACAATTCGGTCAGCTTTCATCCAGGTCTCTGGCTGTATAAATATGGGTTCCTTTTTTCCACCCACGACTATTTTCAGTATGGCAGAAGATAGGAGAAGCTGCACGTTGGATCTTTTTCGAGTCTCCTAGTCATTGAGACAAAAAGTATACAAGTAAAAATTGATTCAACATCTGTATCCGCCAAATCAGAAATATATTTTTTCATGCATTCATACTTCATTTTAAGAAAAATAAAGAATTACATGTCTACAACACATTATTTTTAATATTATAATATTACTATAATATTATTCCTTAGCAAATTAATGTTGAGTCTGCATAAGATAACCTGATAAGTCTGTCTGTTAATTGTGGCAGTTATCAAACAGCACATCATGAGCAGTTCAATGTTTGGTTCAATCAGGGTCAGATAACAGGCCTGTAGCCACAGGGAGGGTGGGGGTGGGGGAGGGGAGAAAAGGTCCACTCTGGGTAAATTAGACCTAGGTAAACAAAGGTTTCATATCAAAACATCCAAATTTTCAGGAAAAGAGCCCCCTCTCTTGCAATTGCTGATTAAGGACCTGGATAAGCCTCGTGTTGGGCCTGCAATATCTGTAATGAAGAGGGCATGGATTGTTGAATTAATAATTACAAAGACAATAGGTACATGTACATAGGAAAGCATTGTCTGCGTAACCAGACTATTGAATTTATAAGGAAATGAAGAGGGCCTTGTGTTAGACCTTTGACAGATTTCAATGAGGCTGAAGTGCAGGTTGATTAGCATATATAATATTTCTCATACCTGCCCATGCATCCTAGTCAAATACAAACACTTTACATATAACAAGTGCAAAGGCACAATCCACACAGTGTATACGAGGGTTGATTGATAAGTAGTGAGCCTCGTGTGGAAGGGGTTAAGCAGGGATATCCCTTTTCAGCCCTTCTATTCCCTGACTATTTAAAGGTGTGTAGCCGAAGTTTGGTGTCATTTGGTTAGTTTATGTCGACGAGGTAGCACTCTCAAATAAGCAAGGCAAGTGACTTTTGCAAAATGAACAAACTCTCTGAAAGAGCAGTTATTAAATATTTGCATAAGAAAGGTTTAACACCAAAGGATATCCATACTGATATGGTAGCAACACTAGGGAATGATGCCCCTTCATATGCCACAGTTAAAAGGTGGGTGGCCAAATTTAAGCAAGGAAAAGAGAGCATTGAGGATGACGCCCATCCTGGGAGGCCTGTCACAGTTGCCACCCCAGAAATGGTCAATAAAGTCTATGATATTGTGATGACCGACAGGCGTGTTACAGAAAGATATGTAGCCAGTAAAACTGGCATTTCATAGGAAAGAGTTCATTCCATTCTTACGGATGATCTTGAAATGAAATAGCTTTCAGAAAGATGGGTACCACGACTTCTGACAGTTGATCAGAAACACATCAGGCGGACTTTGTATGCAATCAACGAGGGTGGCTTTGAACTGATAGAAGATCCACCTTTTTCGCCTGATCTGGCTCCCTCTGACTATTATCTATTTCCCAAATTGAAAAAGGCCATTTCAGGTACTCACTTTGTGTCAGATTATGACGTCATAGGTGAAGTGGAGGGGTTTCTGAACGGCCAAGAGAAGGGCTTCTATAAAAGTGGCATAGAGGCTCTCAAAACTCGCTGGCAAAAGTGTATAGATACTCAAAGAGACTATGTTGAAAAATAAAGGAAATACTTGTAAAATGTGTACCCCTTCTATATGAGGCTCACTACTTATCAATCAACCCTCGTAGAACCGAAATCCACGGGGGCGTCTCGATAGTCCGAAGGTTCATTGTTCCGAAAAGTGGTAACATTTTCATCTATTTTTTAATCAAGGGTTCATTGGTCCGAAGGTTCTATAGCGAACATTCGGACCAATGAACCTTCGGACTATTGAACCTTCGGACTATCGCTACGGCCCCAAATCCACGACTGCCTCAATTTTACCTCTATATTTAATTTTAACTATGTCCATACATTATGTAAAAAGGTCAATTTCAAGGTCACATTTAGATTGCCAGTATATATATATATATATATATATATATATATATATATATATATGACTTCCTTTTCAAGTTTAGTAGTAACTATGGGCCTATCTCTGCCAGTTTTAGCGATATAAAGGATGGAAGCCTTGCAAAGTTCAGTTCATGGTGAAAAGAAGGCCAAAAGTCAATTTTAAGGTCACATTTAGATTGCCAGTATATGACTTCCTATTCAAGTTAATAAGTAACTATGGGCATGTCTCTGCCAGCTTTGAAGATGTAAGACTATTTAAATGTTGCAAATTAAAGTTCAGTTCATGGGGAAAAGTAGTTCAAAGGTCACTTTTAAGGTCATAGTTAGATTGTCAGTATATGACATTGTATTCAAGTTCAATAGTAACTATTAAGGATGTATCTTTGCTAATTTTTGGAGTTATGGTAATTTGCCGTGAATTTCGAATAGAAGAAATTAATTGAAATAACAAAAAGATTGTTTTAGTTGAAATTCAGTAAATGGGAGGTGCTTGAAAATTATAGATGTTCAAATTGAAATTCTGTCATTTTTTACTGGAAGTTGTCTGTCCTTAGCTAAGTCTTTTGTTATCATGTATCATGTCATACAAATTTGAGACTTTTATACCAAAGAGAGCTTATGAGCCTAGCTGTCTGCACATCCATTTTTGGTGGAATTCTAGTTATAATGATAGAATTACAGAGGTATACAGAGCATATGCTTAGGACACATATCAAATGTTATATATCCTTATGTAACGATTGCATAATAAAATAAGTATATGATATGAAAAGCCGATGAAATAAGCTTTCTGTTGATATGCTACAGTACATGTTGGTATATCCAAGGAGTTATAACATCTGTTATAACTCCTTGGTATATCTTGGCCGGTTAACAAGATGGTAAACACAGCCTCTTTTCCACTGTTCAACTACTTACTGACTGGCCAGTACGTTTATTTCTCTGTTTGAAAGATCTGAAGTGTCCTTAGACAGCAAGGACAAACCAGCTATCAAAGTAACTGACCAATTCTTCTCTGGTGA